AGATGACCCCCCCACCCCCCACATCGCACATCCGCAGGACGATCCGCGGCAATCATTTTAGTCGCTAGTACGAAGACGAACATTCGGCACCGGCCGACATGTGGGCCGCCATTGCTGAGCTCCTGGAAATACCTCCTGCTTGGCTGCCATGATGATTGGCTGGATTTGGGATAAGAATGCAGCGAGGGAAGTGGGAGCTCATCGTCCAGGTCAGCAGGGAAGGGTGGAGCGATGGGCCCCCGGGGTGGCCTTCTCATCCTTTCAATGTTCTCCAGGTCGGTATTGAAGCCATTGGATCATTATGACGGCCAGGCGTGCAGGAGGGGCCACCAGTCCCTGTGATTTGCACTTTGATTGTCCACAATCGGTTTTATAACAGACTCCTCCCACACACCGGAAACGTCTCCGATTGTCTTCAGAGATCAGCCGACACTCAGCGTGATCACGGCTCGGGTCCTCCTGGGGGGCTCTGGCAGAGAATAAATGCAGCAACGACGACAAAATAAAAATTGTGCATTTGTTACTTTGTGTGCATTCAAGTCTGCAGAGCATCGCACCCACCAGAAATAAGGCCAGCTCCCCCCTCCCCCCTTTTATTATCAATCTCTCCGGATCTCACACCCTGTGTGGAGTATTCCGTGGGCCAGGAAGGGTTAACCCGGAGGATGTGAGGAATGTACCGAGCACTCCGGCATCCTCTGTCCCCAGATGGGAGTGATGATATGGTGAGCAGCCTCCGTCAGAGCCTTAAATCACCCCTGCAGGCGTGTGACAGCAAGCTGCGGCTCTCCCGGGAGCACCCAGACATCCATCATGAACGGCAAATCTTCCTTCTGGAGGAATGTCCCTGCGCCCTCCATATGGGACTTATCAGAGGAGACGGGGGCAGGGAATGGGGGCCATATGTAGGGAAGGAGTCCACTCCCACCTCGTGTTTCCAGCAAACAGTAAAAGAAAGCAGCTGATTGGATGACGGCTCTTTCAGACGCATCCCGTCACAACGGCCGCCGTCCTTTACGACAGGCCGAGCAGTGAACCGCAAGGGCCCAGCGGAGCCCCAGAGCACATCAGTGTCTTAGAAGTGTTCGTCCAGCCAAAATGTATTCCTTGGTTTTGGATGGAGTGCGGAAGGATTAGAACCCCTGTCAGGTTTTGTTACTTCAATCGGGGGCTCGGATAGAGAGATTTCCCCTCACTTCCTGTCCTGGTAGCAGCACTTACACCGAACAGGAAGTGAGGGGAAATCTGCAACAATGAAACAGAAACAAAAAGCTGCAACTGGTGGGAATTGTTTCTGTACTTCGGATGGAATATGTTCCATGGAAACCCTCGTTCATTTATATGATGTCCGATAAATTCATTTCACCCAAAATTCAAAATCGAATTCTAAGGCGGGGAGAGGCCAAAAAAAAAAAAGTTTTGGGCATCGCTTCAAATATAATATCAAAGATTTTATATCTAAAGTTGAATCTTCTATTATCCTCCCTCAGTCTGGAGGAGCGGGCGGTCCTAGGCAGGCTGTATTTGCATGCAGACCACCTTAGGTAACGCCCACATGTGACGCTGAGCCTCCGTGATTGACAGAACTGAGATCCAATGCATAAAAGGGGCGGGGCCAGGGACAGTCAGGCTGGGGAGGAAAGTACTAGATCAGTGATGACGAACCTTGGCACTCGGGCTGTTTTGGAACTACAAGTCCCATGAGGCATTGCAAGGCTCTGACAGCCACAGACATAACTCCCAGAGGCAGATGCATCTTGGGATTTGTAGTTTTGGCACAGCTGGAGTGCCAAGGTTCGCCACCACTGTACTAGATGATGCTGGAAGTCCTCCAGCCAGGAAATGAGGCGGAGCTCTATCGGACTTGCTGCAGCTTCTAATGCACATTGTGAGCAGCTCTCAGTGTGCAGTGACATCAGAGGAAGAGGGGAGGAGCTGGTACAAGGATGAAGGGAAACTTTGAAATAACATGTAAAAATATTCTATTTGAAGTGACACCCAAAACCTTTTCCCCGTGTGAGACGTAGAAATCCGACGGGTTCTTGTGGCCTTTTCTACTGCTCTTTAAAAAGAAAGAAATCTGTGCTGCTGTTGAAAATTTCCCCTCACTTCCTGTCTGCTAAACCGGTTCTTTCTGGGACAGGAAGTGAGGGGAAATCTCTCCAGGGATTCTAATCCACCTCCGCTCCATCCAAAGCTACAAAGAAAAATTCCCGGCTGGACCAACACAGGAGGCAGTGTCCTCACTACAACACATAGGATTGTCACAGCTGACCACAAGCCAATAGAGAAGCATCTTTGGCACGCTTAAAAAAAAAAACAACAAAAAGAACTTTAAATCTGTACAAATATCTCATAAAAAAAACTTTCTTATAAAATATATACACATATAATTCTCATCTCTATAAAAAATACAATCTGGGAACACTGAAGATGGAGGGAAGGACGTCCAAGGCG